TATCCGCCCCGCGGTTCCCCCAGTTATGTCCCCTTAGCTTAGCTTTGCTTATCTCATCTTAGCTTAGCTTAGCTTAGCCTAGCCTAGCCTAGCCTAGCCTAGCCTTGCTTAGCTTAGTTTAGTTTAGCTTAGCTTAGCTTAGTCTAGCCTAGCTTAGCTTAGCATAGCTTGGCCTAGCTTAGCTCAGCTTAGCTTAACTTAGCGCAGCATTATCATATCATACCATATCATATCATAGCATCGCGCAGCATAGCATAGCATAGCGCGACACATCATAGCATATCATAGCACAGCATAGCATATCATAGCGCAGCATATGATATCATACCATATCATAGCTTAGCTTATCATATCACAGCCCAGCATAGCATAGCATAACATCGCATATCATATTACATCATATACTATCATGCCATATCATGCCATGATATGTCATGTCATACCATAGCGCAGCATATCATATCATATCATAACATAGCATAGCGCATCATATCATCTCATATAATAGCGCATCATATCACAGCATAACATCACATACCATATCACAGCACAGCATAGCATAGCATAGCATAGTCCAGCATAGTCTCGCTGTTGATGTTGATGTAGATGTAGATGCAGGTGTAGATGTTAATGTTGCTGTCGGTGTAGATGTAGATGTTGCTTTCCTAGATGCTCAAACTCCTAGGTAGGGTCGCTCTGGGATAATTCAGTTTTGGGCTTGGGCTTTTTTTAACGACCAGAGGCTCCGCCCGCCCCTCAGCCCGCGCCGAGCTCTGCCGCCATGGCGCCCCAGCGGCCCATCCTCACGTGCGTGCTTGCGGCCGCGGTGGTGGCCCTGTGCCGCAGGGGCGCCGGCTTCGTGGGCTCGCCCGCGCCCAGCTGCCAGCGCGGCGAGCGCGTGGCCGCGCGCGTGAGCGCGGAGTACCTGGAGCGCTGCGGGCCGAAGGACGCGGATGTGGCGTTCGATGCCTCGGCCGCCACTGGCCCGGGCCCCACCGTCACCTACAAGAAGCGCCCCTTCGGCATCCTGCGCTACCAGCCGGGCAACGGCATGAAGGGCGCGATGGCCATGGAGGTGATCCCGGTGTCCCGGTACCCTGGGGACCCCCAGGGCCAGGCGTTCTCCGCCGGCGTGTCGGGCGGCATGGTGGTGAAGTCCATCGCCGGCGCGGAGGTGTTGACGGAGGACTCGTGCAGTGACGAAGCGCCCTGGTCCGCATGTCGGCCCACCAACAAATTTGTATCGGAAACCACGCTACTGATTGGCATAATCTTTCCTCAGAACACGCCTGGCTGATAGTGTGATGTGTGAACCACTGGATCTTATGTTCGGAGAGCAGTCCCCAAACAGTGCTTGCACTGGGGATTGCACTGGAGGTGCGCGTGCTTGGTATGGCGAGGTTTCGCTTGGTGATCGGCCGTGGGCGCATCGTAGGCACCACATGTCTTACGCCACATGGCTTCATCCTCATAGCATGCACCACGTAGCTTTCAGCAGATAGATCGCACCACATGGATTGCATCCCGTACCTTGCAACACATCGCTTGCACCACATAGTTTATGCCATGTAGTTTGCGCTCAATAACCTTCACCATCTATCTTGTACCTCGTAACTCGCACCGACCGCATAGCGTGCACCACATGGATTGCAGCGCGTAGGCTGCGCATCCACAGTGCAATGGCTCACGGCTTGGGGCTCACGCTTACAACCATTCTACAGTTCTGAGAACACTCCGTGGTACGCCTTTAGGAATGCGGGGAGGGCTTGCCCCTGCTCAAAAGGACTTCGGCAAGATCATGGATTTGCTCGACGACGAGGTGGCCGACCCGCGCTTCTCGAAGTCCACCGCGCTCGCCCTGGAGAAGTTGGGGAGGAAGGCGGACGCCGTTGAGCCGCCCATCGAGGTGGTCTACGCGACCGTGCCAGGCTACGTGTACGCGGGCGCCGAGATGAAGGCGGACGGCCAGGACGGCTTCGCCCGCTGAGCCCTCGCGGGCCGCAAGGCAGTTGCCTGCCGCCTCCGCTTGCGATTTTTCGACCCCCCGCGAGGCCTACCCCGGCGGGTCTAGCCTCAGAGGAGAAACGTCTACCGATGCCACGACCCCTCCCTCGTCGCCACGGCTGGATGCGCCTCGACATTCTGGTCAGAACGCACGACTGGAGAGGGCCCAGAGTGGGCCGATATCGAGCTCCCTGCTCCATCGGGAAGCCGCGGTCGCTCAAAGTTGAATGATCCGCGCGGCGTCCTCCCCGTCCTCCCCCTCCTCTCCCACGCCCCTCTCCTCTTGCTCCCCCTTCCCTCCTCCTACTCCCTGCCCCCTGCCCTCCCCCTCCCCCCCCCTTCAGCGCCCCTTCTTCCTTGTTCCATACCTAGGCTCTGTCTAGAAGGGTTCTTACTCTATGTGCTTAAAGGGCCGGGCAGTGTAAACCGCCCCAGGCGGTTCCCCCAGTATCCGCCCCGCGGTTCCCCCAGTTATGTCCTCTTAGCTTAGCTTTGTTTATCTCATCTTATCTTAGCCTAGCTTAACTTAGCTTAGCATAGCTTAGCTTAGTTTAGCCTAGTCTAGCCTAGCCTAGCCTAGCTTAGCTTAGCTTAGCTTAGCTTAGCCTAGCCTGGCCTAGCCTAGCCTAGCTTAGCTTAGCTCAGCTTAGCTTAGCTTAGCGCATCATTCTCATATCATACCATATCATATCGTATCATGCCATAACATGTCATAGCACAGCATATCATAGCATCGCATAGCACGGCATATCATAGCACAGCGCAGCATATCATAACATATCATAGCATCGCTTAGCTTAGCATGGCACAGCGCAGCATCGCATCGCATTGCATAGCATACCATATCATAGCATATCATGCCATATCATAGCATATCGTAACATCTAATCTCATAGCACAGCATAGCATATCGCAGCAGATCATAGCATAGCATAGCACATCATATCATACCATATCATAGCATGGCGCAGCGTGGCATAGCATAGCATAGCGCAGCAGAGTCTCGCTGTTGATGTTGATGTAGATGTAGATGCATGTGTAGTTGTTAATGTAGCTGTCGGTGTAGATGTAGATGTTGCTTTCCTAGATGCTCCAACTCCTAGGTAGGGTCGCACTGGGATAATTCAGTTTTGGGCTTGGGCTTTTTTTAACGACCAGAGGCTCCGCCCGCCCCTCAGCCCGCGCCGAGCTCTGCCGCCATGGCGCCCCAGCGGCCCATCCTCACGTGCGTGCTTGCGGCCGCGGTGGTGGCCCTGTGCCGCAGGGGCGCCGGCTTCGTGGGCTCGCCCGCGCCCAGCTGCCAGCGCGGCGAGCGCGTGGCCGCGCGCGTGAGCGCGGAGTACCTGGAGCGCTGCGGGCCGAAGGACGCGGATGTGGCGTTCGACGCCTCGGCCGCCACTGGCCCGGGCCCCACCGTCACCTACAAGAAGCGCCCCTTCGGCATCCTGCGCTACCAGCCGGGCAACGGCATGAAGGGCGCGATGGCCATGGAGGTGATCCCGGTGTCCCGGTACCCTGGGGACCCCCAGGGCCAGGCGTTCTCCGCCGGCGTGTCGGGCGGCATGGTGGTGAAGTCCATCGCCGGCGCGGAGGTGTTGACGGAGGACTCGTGCAGTGACGAAGCGCCCTGGTCCGCCTGTCGGCCCACCAATACATGTGTATAGGAACCACGCTACTGATTGGCAGAATCTGTCCTCAGAACACGCCTTGTTGATAGTGTGATGTGTGAACCACTCGGTCTTATGTTCGGAGAGCAGTCCCCAAACAGTGCTTGCACTGGGGATTGTTACTTGGGTTTTGTTGTGTGTGTGTGTGTGTGCGGTGAGATTTCGCCTGGTGGGCAGCGCGCCACGTGCGTTGGCTGGGTGTTTCGAGGTTTCGCCTGGCGGGCGGCCGTGGGCGCCTCGTGGGTGCGACGTGGGGGTGCTTGGTATGGCGAGGTTTCGCCTGGTGATCGTCAGTGGGCGCATCGTAGGCGCCAGATGGCTTAATCCTCATAGCATGCACCACGTAGCTTTCACCACATAGATCGCACCAGATGGATTGCACCCCGTAACTTGCAACACACAGCTTGCACCACATAGTTTACGCTATGGAGCCTGCGCCCCACAGCATTCACCATCTATCACGTAGCTCGCACCGCATATAGTGCACCACATGGATTGCACCGCGTAGGCTGTGCATCCACAGTGCAATGGCTCACGGCTTGGGGTTCACGCTTGCAACCACTCTACAGTTCTGAGAACACTCCGTGGTAGGCCTCTAGGAATGCCGGGAGGGTCTGCCCCTGCTTGAAAGGACTTCGGCAAGATCATGGACCTGCTCGACGACGAGGTGGCCGACCCGCGCTTCTCGAAGTCCACCGCGCTCGCCCTGGAGAAGTTGGGGAGGAAGGCGGACGCCGTTGAGCCGCCCATCGAGGTGGTCTACGCGACCGTGCCGGGCTACGTGTACGCGGGCGCCGAGATGAAGGCGGACGGCCAGGACGGCTTCGCCCGCTGAGCCCTCGCGGGCCGCAGGGCGGTTGCCTGCCGCCGCCGCTCGTGCTTTTTTCGACCCCCCGCGAGCCCTACCCCGGCGGGTCCAGCCTCAGAGGAGAAACATCTACCGATGCCGCGACCCTTCCCTCGTCGCCACGGCTGGATGCGCCTCGACATTATGGTCAGAACCCACGACTGGAGAGGGCCCAGGGTGGGCCGATACCGTGCTCCCTGCTCCATCGGGAAGCCGCGGTCGCTCAAAGTTGAGCGATCCGCGCGGCGTCAGTAACCAACGCCCGGGTCGTCACGACCCGGGCCTCTCTCTCCTCCCCCTCCGCTCGCCTCCTCTCTCACGTCCCTCTCCTCTTGCTCCCCCTTCCTCCTCCTACTCCCTGCCCCCTGCCCTCCCCCTCCCCCCCCTTCAGCGTGCCTCTTCCTTGTTCAGTTTTGGGCTTGGGCTTTTTTAAACGACCGGAGGCACCGCCCGCCCCCCAGCCCGCGCCGAGCTCTGCCGCCATGGCGCCCCAGCGGCCCATCCTCACGTGCGTGCTTGCGGCCGCGGTGGTGGCCCTGTGCCGCAGGGGCGCCGGCTTCGTGGGCTCGCCCGCGCCCAGCTGCCAGCGCGGCGAGCGCGTGGCCGCGCGCGTGAGCGCGGAGTACCTGGAGCGCTGCGGGCCGAAGGACGCGGATGTGGCGTTCGATGCCTCGGCCGCCACTGGCCCGGGCCCCACCGTCACCTACAAGAAGCGCCCCTTCGGCATCCTGCGCTACCAGCCGGGCAACGGCATGAAGGGCGCGATGGCCATGGAGGTGATCCCGGTGTCCCGGTACCCTGGGGACCCCCAGGGCCAGGCGTTCTCCGCCGGCGTGTCGGGCGGCATGGTGGTGAAGTCCATCGCCGGCGCTGAGGTGTTGACGGAGGACTCGTGCAGTGACGAAGCGCCCTGGTCCGCCTGTAGACCCACCAACAAGTTGTATAGGAACCACGCTACTGATTGGCAGAATCTGTCCTCAGAACACGCCTGCACTCGGTCTTATGTTCGAAGAGCAGTCCCCAAACAGTGCTTGTATTGGGGATTGCTACTCGGGTTTGTTGGGTGTGTTGGGGTTCCGCCTGGTGGGCGGCCGTGGGCTCCTCGTGGGCGCCCCGTACGCCAACTGGGTGCGGTAAGATTTCGCCTGGTGGACGGCCGTGGGCGCCATGTGCGCTGGCTGGGTGTTTCGAGGTTTCGCCCGGTTGGCGGCCGTGGGCGCCTCGTGGGCGCGACGTGGGGGTGCTTGGCGTGGCGAGGTTTCGCCTGGTGGGCGGCGTCGAGGTGCCGTTTCGGGTTGGCAGCCGTGGGCGCCAGTTGAGCGCCCAGTGCGTTGGTCGGGTTGTGTTGGGGTTTCGCCTAGTCGGCTGCCTCGGGCGCCTCGCGGGCGACCCGTGCGCTGGCTGGGTGTGCCGAGATTTCGCCTGGTGGGCGGCCGTGGGCGCCTCGTGGTCGCGCCGTGCGCTGGTTTGATGTGGCCAGGTTTCGCCTGGTGGGCGGCCGTGGGCTCCTCTTGGGCAAGCTGGGCGGGTGTGTTGAGATTCCGCCTGGTCGGCGGCCGTGCGCGCCTCGTGGGCGCCCCGTGCGCTGGGCGGGCGTGTCGAGGTTTCGCCTGGTGGGCTACCGTGGGCGCCTCGTATGCGCCACATGGCTCACGGTCGGGCCGAGGTGTTAGATCGAGGTGCGAGGGTCGGTTCTTGGAGGGTTCCCTACTGTTCTTCGTGTTTGGTGGATGTTTTTGTGCATTCTGGGTGAGGGCACCCTCGGGTGATCTCATGGTTTGGGGTGTTCTGGCCGGCGGAGGGTCTCATGCTCTTGTAGGATGTTATTCCGTCCTAGGTCCGACCATACGCCACATAGGTTACGTGCGCCGCATAGCTTGCACCAACTAGCTTACACCACAACTAGCTTACACCACATGGCTCACATCACATAGATCGCCCCGCACGGGGGTTCACGCTTGCAACCATTTCTACAGCTCTAAGAACACTCCGTGGTAGGCTTTTAGGGATGCCGGGAGGGTCTGCCCCTGCTCAAAAGGACTTCGGCAAGATCATGGACCTGCTCGACGACGAGGTGGCCGACCCGCGCTTCTCGAAGTCCACCGCGCTCGCCCTGGAGAAGTTGGGGAGGAAGGCGGACGCCGTTGAGCCGCCCATCGAGGTGGTCTACGCGACCGTGCCGGGCTACGTGTACGCGGGCGCCGAGATGAAGGCGGACGGCCAGGACGGCTTCGCCCGCTGAGCCCTCGCGGGCCGCAGGGCGGTTGCCTGCCGCCGCCGCTCGTGCTTTTTTCGACCCCCCGCGAGCCCTACCCCGGCGGGTCCAGCCTCAGAGGAGAAACATCTACCGATGCCGCGACCCTTCCCTCGTCGCCACGGCTGGATGCGCCTCGACATTATGGTCAGAACCCACGACTGGAGAGGTCTTGGGAGTAGCGGTATTGGGAGTAGCGGGCGAGGGAAGAAAACGGGGCTGTCGTCGACGACATTGGCGCTTAAGTTGCCCGCATATGGTCGCGCGTAGCGGTCCTCGTTTCCAGTGTGGCGTGCCGCGATGGTGACCCGCGTAAAACGCAGCGTAAGGACGCTATGCCATCTGTTGTAAGGCGCGTTTCTTTTCGTCTTTCAGGTGGGGATAGATGTGGTTCTCCGCGGGCTCCGTGGCACACATCCCCAGCTTGAGGCGATGGGCTGGTGGCGCTGAGGAACATTCCATCACTTGGGAGGAGGATTGATAGGCTTAACGGTCGAGCGCGAGGAGGATCAACATACTGTGTTTGATCAGTATACCACGAATGGTGCGAATGGTGGGATCAGCCGGAGGATGAGGAGGATCAGGACCTTTGAGGAGCGCGAGGAGTGTAACGGCGACTCCGAGGAGCTGCAGGAGGGGTCACCCACGCGTCTCACCCGTCTCGCCCTCTTCCAGCCCGCCGCGCGCGACTTGGCAGCATCAGCAGCACTGGTGACCTTGACGGATGACCCTCTATTCCTCGTGCACCTAGGACATAGGCTCTTCTCGTGCTAAAAAACAGGGTTTCGTTGCTCGTTCTTGGTGGCGTTCCTTACTTCAGCAGCCAGATTGTACACGGCCCCGAGATCCCCTAAAGGGTTTCCCATGGTGGGCCTCAGAGCCGTCCACCATGGCCCGGCGATGGCCGCGAGGGCCCCCGAGAGGCAGCGCGGCATGCGGAGGCCGTGGTGGCGCGGCCTTCTCCTTTGCTTCAGATGTTGTCTGGCGGAGGGTCGGGGGCAACGGTAGGGGGGGGGATGGGCAAAGGGTGGGACGCATCGACCCCCAATCGCCCATGGATCGCCGATGGGGGCCCGATAGCCCCAACCTGCCCAGGAAGGTGCGGATCCACGATCGGGGGCCTTATCGCCGATCTATCGGCGATGTATCGCCGATTCCACGTCGATGCATCCCCCCTATTCCTATCCCCCCCTATCGTTACCCCTCAGGGTGAGGAGGAGAAGGAGGATGATGAGAAGGGGGGGAGGGCTTCTTCGAAACACCCCTGCTTCTTATCAGGCCCGGGCCTTACCTGCAGATGCAAGGCCGGCGCCTTCCAAGAGACGACTTCCCTCTAAGAAGCCTTCCTTCTCCCTCCACCCCCTTTCGCGCGCCGTCAAAGTAATGAGTAGAGCGGAAGCAGGAGAAATAGTAGGATGTCGATGAGGCAAGGGCCTTTGACTAGACCCTAAGCGCGCGCAGCGCGCTCGCGTGACTCTAGCCAGGACTGCTCAGTATGTCATGCCATTATTTGCCAGATCTCAATCCTTACTTTCCCCCGCCGATTCCGCACATTCCTTTTCTCACACGCGCAGGATTGCCCAACTATGATTTTGGATGTGTCTTCGTCCAACCAACGCGTCCCCGCCCCTTCAAAAGCTGTGCTCTTGTTTCAGCGCTGGCCTCAGGTAACGATATTCGCATTCCTCCATCGGGGCGACGATGTCTCCACACCGCTGGCTGTAGCATCCCATCCACGTCACCATTGGGTTCCCGTCCAGCCGGGCGAGGCTCTCTCCGCAACGGTGGCCGCTCTCTGGCATTAGCAAGCACGCAGCTTCCGTTCCAGCTTTTTGCCACAGGTGGAGATTTCCATAGGGCCTCCGCCAAGCAGACCCGACTCTTGCCGCGGGCAGGCCGAACTACGGCATCAGCCTCAGTTGAGCTCTCGCTGGAGGGTGCGACAAGTCGTGGCACACATCTGCCCTTCGGAACCACCGTCTTCTTAGACATTATACCTTGTGGACGTAGAGGACAAAGCTCCATGGTATAGGGAGGGCGGGAGGGATATGACACCAGAGATTGCGCGATCGCATCAACGATGTTCCCTCCCCCTGTTCTCCTCCTCCTCCTCCCCCCCTCTTCTCTTCCCCTCATCGTCCTCTCCTCCTCCTATCCCCCCGACCCCCCTCCTCCCCTCATAGTGGCTCCTGCGTCGCGGCAGGCGAACGCCCCTCCACCCCCCATTACCCCTTCCGTCATCTCTCCTCTCCTCTCCTCCTCCCCTTCTCCTCATTCCCCCCTCTCTCTCTTTCTCTCCTCCTCCTTACCTCCCACCCTTTCTGCCCCTCCATTTCTCCTTCTGTGATCCTCCTCCTCCTCCTCAGCCGTTCTGGCCCAGGTTCTTTCCTGAGCTTGGCGAAGCAAACTTCAGAACGGCCTGCCTGGTCGGGACACAGTCCCACAGTTGCCAGCCGCATGACTGGCGACGGTTCTGTGCTGCGAGGCGGTCGTCTGCTTCGCTCGTCTTGCTCGCAGTGTGGTCGCACAGCGAACTGGGCTTGTCGTATCACGTGTCTGTGTGGCGCTGCTTCACGTACACGTGTGGTCCAAGCAGCCTGCAATAATGAGAAGGAATGGGCCCAGTTGCCGACCCCAACTACGGCTCGAGCGCCGACGGGCTAATGGCCCCCCGTTTTCTCCCGTCCTGGTCGACACTACGACAGCGGCGCCCGAGAAACAATTCGGTTGGAAGTTCAAGTTGCTCAAGGACCCGAAAACTGGCCATACTGCTGGCTAGGCGCCTACTGCCGATGGCGATGCTGCTGCTGCTGACGCTGAGAATGGGCAGCGAGGTGCGCGAGTCGAGTCCCTTGGGATGGCTCTCCGACAGCTTGGTGACGCGTCCGCCGATGACCCAGCCAAGCTGCGCTTCGGGTCTCAACCCCGAGATGCTCGTAAGGCCCAGCGAGATGCCAAACCTGTCCTGCAACAACAACTGCCGAAAATAAGCAGTCCACCGCGACCGAGGCTGTTGCAGCACAACGGAAACCCATCGATAATGCCCAACGATCACTTCGTGAGATGCAAGAAAAAAAGGTGACTATCAAGCACGAGGTGGTTGCTTTGGAGGAGGAGCTGCGACGCACCATACCGCCAGACGCAGCCACTTCCCCTGCCGAGGTCAAGTTCAAGCTGCCTCCTTACGCGCTGGAGGGTGAAGGCAATGATGAGATCAAAAGGGCCCATGGCGAACCCAGCGTGTTCGAAGTTGCAGCAACTCTACACGGCCACGGCGCCTACTCCTACGACGTCACCGACTGCTGGCTCATCCGGTGATGCAGCGGGCGAACATAATGGTTTTGACGCCGAAGCTGGTATGATGACTCGCATCAAGCACCACAGTATGATGGCTTATCGATGGAGGACATCGACGATCTGCCCAATCACACGGGTGACAAGCGTGCGTTAGCGCAACAGCTGGAACCCATGGGCATCAAGGGGGCTAGGAAGACACCCCCCCGACCTTCCACACCTGAGTGGGCTCCCAGTTTCGGCGGCCGGTCGCGATGCTGTGCCCGCGGGCCACATTTCGCCGGCGTGGCCATTTTTGTTTCATCTTGAGCTCAGATGGAAGCCTACTGGAGGCGAGTTGGCCAAATGGCGTCTTATCTCAGCTACGGTTGATATTTCTGGACGGCCAGAGCGTGTAGTATATTCACACATCTGCGCGACAGCGTGGCAGCGTGGGCTTTGACGAGGCCAACCAGCGCCTACTCTCTATCCTGGGGGGGGGTGAGCGGTTATGACATCAACGGGCTCTGTCCCGGCTGGTGCTGATTGAAATGTTGAGCCGACCTCCATTGAGCAGTGCGGTTGCACACGCAAGGGTGGCCTCATCACGCTCGCCCTGTGCGTCATGCGTGTATGTTGTCCTCCTCGGCCAGCGCGATGTCTTTCTTGCTGGCGTATCATGATCTCGCGCGAGTGGTGGATGAGGGGCGGGTGTTCTCCCAGTGGCGGGGGGGCCTCATGGGCCCGTGCGTCTACCGCCACGATTTGACACCGTCTCTCTCTCCGGCAGCTGATGCATTGCTCTCGCGCGCGCCCCCCCCCTCCCCCCTTTCGGCCTTCGCCCTCAAACCCGCGTCCACGCGGCAGCCAGGCAGATGGCTGATGAGGCAGCCTTGTCTATGCAATACGACTCGGTTGATAAGGCTCGGGCGCGACTCAATTAGGCGCGGGTGGTTTAGTCTTAGAAGGTTTTGAGGAGTGCAGGGGTGGAAATTGCTGCAGTGTTCGATTTCTCGATAACGAAGCTCGCTCGACGCAGCTATCTTTGCTCGACGATGCGCACCTGTTCTGGGGCACAAAGATCACGCCCAAGGTCCTGTCCGCGTTGCTCATGCTGCACAGTGGCTCTATCGAGTGGCGCGGGTTTGAGGCGATGGCGAAGCAGAGACCAGAGCTCCAAGATAACCCAGCTGCGCCTGCGCGCAAACAAACAGCTGCGGTAGGAAATTATTACGGCGAGGAGCTTCTTGCGGGGCTTGGATTCGCAAGTGGAGGCCCCGCGTGATTACCCAGAGGGGCACCCCCGTCCTCGGCGGGATCACGCGACGCAATGCGGCGAGCAATTGGTCATCGAGGCTGCGACGAAGGACTCTTCGCACGCTGCGACATCTGTCCAGGAATGAATGGCGCGACCAGGCGCTCAAGGGGTCGGCCGAGCTCACGCGACAGAGAACGCGTCTGCAGAAGGTATGGTACCTCAGCATGGTGGAGAAATCCCATGGCGAATTTTACAGCTGCCCAGACGCGGCGCTCAACTCGGAGGTGGAGTCGTCGCAGGAGCAGTGGAGTGCATCGTTCGCACCGCCGCGAGCACGCGCGCCTGATCGAGACTGTCTGCCACGGGATGCCGATGAGATCCGGCTGGCATCTCGCAAGATTTGCCAGTTTACTTCTTCCGCGCCAGGCGGCTTCCACCCGAATCATCTGTCTCTTGAGGGGCGCTGCCTCAGGGGCGTTCCGTCTGCGACATGAAGGGGTTGAGCGGTTGGAGCTCTCCCCTCGGCACTTTTTCTATATGGTATTTCAACGGATCGAGCAGCCCGCGGGAGGGCGTCGCGCCATCCTCTTGCTGGCCAGTTACGCTCGCGCATGGAACGGCTTCGCCGACCACCCCTGGGCCCGTTCTTGCCAGCCGCGGAGGGGTCTCATTTGGTGTCCGGCCTAGTTAGAGCGCTGGATGTTGTGCGTGGGCCCGGGCGGCCCTTGGGGAGATAGCGGCTGCTGGTTATAAGATTGTTCTTGGGGTCCGACGCGACGGAAAGAAGCGCTGCGAATCTTTCCCGCTGCGCCACCTTCGACAGCGAGCTCTTCGATGATATCCCTGGGGCCATGGCCACAACGACGTGCAATGCGTGGCGTTCTCCGGGGCTGGCAAGGCTAGGCCTTTCTACCCATCCTGTCGCACTCTTTGCAGAAAGTTGAATCCCTGCGGGGGCATTTCCATGGCGGGTCCGTTGAGGTCTTTGCCATCGGTGCCTTTGATGATTTCACGGCTCGGCTTGCAAATTTTAATCGGCTTTCGAGCTACGCCGATGATGGCGCGATCGCGGGCACTGGCGATTAAGCAAGCCCAGGTTGGTCCCAGCTGCTGCTGGATATTTCTACCGCGCGTTTCGAACATAGCTCAAAGCGGACATGTCCGAAACGAAGACTGTCGCGACTGCGCGTTCCCTTGGGTAGCTAGGGCTTTGGCTTCCCAGTTGCCGCTTCGAGGGCTCCGCGCGGGTGCCATCGCGCACTCGCCCGTCAACCTCGGATTCGTCAAATGGGGCTCTTCGGAATCGTCGCGACCGCTTGCGCCAGTTTCGATTTCTACACCCACGTGCTTTTGGATTTCGTAAATGGCTCTCACATGGCAAGCGCCTAATGGCATGCTGGTGTCGAGCCAGCGCTGGCATGTGGCAGTGCTATCCTCGGCATGTCTGGTTGCGAGTTGCAGCGGGACCGCGCTGCTCTGCTCAGTCTTCGCTCGCCGTCGCATCGAGGTGGCCCTTTGCTGGCAGGGGTGGTGCTCCGTGGCGGCCCTAAGGCCGACGCGCGCGTTGCTCCTGCTGTTCCGCGGACAGTCGCAGGCTGGCAGGCCTTGGTTGCATCGGAGCGTTCGCTGCCCAGCGCTCGCGAGCCCTTGGGTATTCGCCAGGCCGCGCTGGAGAGACTGGAGCCCCACCATCGATGGATACACGCGCGATGACCATATCTCGCATGCTCCTTTCCCTCCAGCGCGCAGGGTGGACAGTGGAGAATTTCGCACTGCGGGGAGATGCTATAGGTGAAGAGATACCCCTCGCGTGCGCGGCCCCGAACATGCTCGGGGGGTATGCTGAGAGATGCGGTGCAGCGTGAGCATGAGCGTGGTTTGGCACATAGCTGGAGCAGTCTTGATATTGCACGCGTTTTCTGATAGTGCGCGCAATGCTGGATGCGCGCGTATGAAGCGCGCCGCGCCAGAAGCGCGCAATGGCCAGTTGTTTTTGCAGGGCGGCTTCCGCATTCGCCTCCAGATCGATGGCGGTCGATGCCCTCCGCGCGGAGGGCTCGATCGCGCGCCCTGGCCCGGCCCCTGGCTCCAAGGGTCGGGGAAGGGCAGGGCCCAGGCAGCAGGGCCCAGGGATCGCGGGAAGCAAGTCGCCCCCCCCCCCCCCCCCCCCCCACACACGCACACGCGCGCGCGCGCGCGCGCACGCGCACACGCACACGCACATGCACACGCGCGCGCATCGCGCACGCGCACGCGCACGCAACGCACGCGCACGCACACGCACGCGCACACGCACACGCACACACGCACACGCACACGCACACGCACACGCACCACGCACGCACACACGCACCACACGCACACGCACACGCACACGCACACGCACACACGCACACGCACACGCAAACACACGCACACACACGCACGCACGCACGCACGCACGCACGCACACACAACACAACACAACACAACACAACAACAACACAAACACAACACAACACACACAAAACACAACAACAAACACAACACACACCACAACACAACACCACACAACACAACACAACACAACACGCAACACGCAACACAACACCACACGCACACGCAACACGCAACACGCAACACGCAACACGCAACACGCAACACGCAACACGCAACACGCAACACGCAACACGCAACACGCAACACGCAACACGCAACACGCAACACGCAACACGCAACACGCAACACGCAACACGCAACACGCAACACGCAACACGCACGCGCTCACGCGCAACACGCGCGCGCACGCACACGCACGCAACACGCAACACGCAACACGCAACACGCAACACGCACACGCAACACGCAACACGCAACACGCAACACGCAACACGCAACACGCAACACGCAACACGCAACACGCAACACGCAACACGCAACACGCAACACGCAACACGCAACACGCAACACGCAACACGCACACGCAACACGCAACACGCAACACGCAACACGCAACACGCAACACGCAACACGCAACACGCAACACGCAACACGCAACACGCAACACGCAACACGCAACACGCAACACGCCACCACGCCACCACGCCACCACGCCACCACGCCACCACGCCACCACGCCACCACGCCACCACGCCAGCACGCACGCACGCACGCACGCACGCACGCACGCACGCACGCACGCACGCACGCACGCACGCACGCACGCACGCACGCACGCACGCACGCACGCACGCACACGCGCGCGCGCGCACACGCCCCGCGCCCTCTCTGGGCCCGCCTTGTTCTCGCTCGCCCCCCTCCCCCCTCGCCTTGCAAACCCCCGGCGGGCGCGATCTATCCTGGGACTTTTGATCCCCGCGGGGAAGCGCTGCAGGATGTCGCGATTCTCCAGGCTGCGTCTGGCGTCGTCGTCGACGGGTCACGCGCCAGGTCTTGGACTTGTGAGCTTGCCCGATCGTCCTTCGCGGGAGTGTTTCTGCAGGCTGGGTCGGAGGAGGTCGTGGCTCGATTCAGAGGCCCTGTCTGGCCGAGCCTTCCACGGTCCCCACAAGCTACCGAGCGCATGGGCATTGTAGCGATCAGTTTTTTATTTGGCAGATGGGGCGCATGATGTATGGTTGGTCCGATTATTCGGGTCCCGTTCGGCATCGCAACCTCCCAACTGCCTGGCAGGTTTGTTCCAGGAACATGCATGGAGGGCTGCGCAGAGGTTTCTGGGACATCCAGGGGTCGACAAACGTCGGCCCCTGCGCCCGCGCCCCTGCTCGCCGCAGCATGGGAGTTATAGATGGACTTCCGCGGGGTGAGCGGAGGGCCGCGAGGGCAAATGTCCTAGCGGATCGTTCCGCAAAGGATGCCTTCTCTCTGAATGCGCAGGAGCCCCCAGGGAGGTTGTGGTGATCTTGATAATTCCTTCGTCGGCAAAGCCCGCGCTGTCGCTCGAGTCATGGGGGCCCCCGCCCCTCTTCCCGGTCTCGCAGCTTCCCCTAGAGGAGGAGCACACGCGCGCACATATGGCATGCGTGGGCTGTCGTGCCTGTCGCACCTGGCTCGTTCATCTGTCATGATTGTCATGCGCGGCGTAAGATGCGAACGCTGCTGTTCTGAATATGTCGGACTGCCCTGGAAAAAAAAGGGCACATTTGTTTCTTTTCTCGCTCGCCGAACGCACGGGCACGACCTGGTCTGCATGCGTCTCTAGTCGGGTCCGGCTCCGGCGTTTTACAGGCGATGTGCGTCTCACGCGTCAGCTTGGAAAAATAGTGCAGAGGATGTGCTGCTTCCTCTGCCAGCAGGCGGCGTCTCAATCGAATGCTCCGTGGCCTCCATCCCCGGGCCAATCGTTCTGCCCCAGGTGTCGCGCTCCATATCTTAAGCGAAGTGGAGTGCCAGCGGTTGCCGCAGACTCAACAGCCAGCTCAACGGGCTGTGGGGTTCCAGCGCCTTGATGGTGATCTTCCAGGCAGCTATGTAATTCCACTGTTGGAGAGGATGAGGCAGCGGATAGCAGTTAGGGGGACGCAGCTGGAAAAACGTTCACGTTAAACGTTTTACCCTTCGCGGGCAAAAACAATTCCTCCTTCTCTTCCTCTGCACCTCCTCTGCTCCCCCTCGATCTTTCATTGGGTCCTCTGCTCTCCTCCTTCTCCTCCCCTCCTCCCTCCTGTTCTCCTCCCTGTCCTTGTTGCCCGCGTGCCCGCGCTCTCACCTAGGGCGGCCCAAGGGGCGGGCCCTGGGAGGCATCGGCGGCGGGGCGGCCCTGTAGCGCGCGCGCCGAAGGGCTCTCCGACTCCTCTGCTCTGGCGACGATGATAATGGCGATGGCGTCATCGTTGTAGTCAACATCGCTGCCGTAATCGTTTACACCATCGTCAGCATCGCCGTCGCCGCTGACCGCTGAGCCCACCTCGATCTTATGGATCCGATCCGATGTCGTTGTCGGCCCGCTCGATCCGATTTGGTTCCAACGTTCCGACGATACGATGAGGGCCGATGCTGGCATGGCGGTGTTGTTCGTTTTGGCGCAGCCGATACGGTTCAAGTCAGACTCTGTGACGATGCGGCCTGACCCGACGAATATTCCGATCCGATCCGATGTACCGATCCGATGCTGACCGTTCCCTTGGTGATAGTGATACCCACGACGTGTGTGTTTCGCCGACGTCGTAGTCGTCGTCGTTGTCGTACTCATCACCATCATCATCATCATCATCATCATCACTACCATCATCACCATCATCATCATTATCATCATCATCACCATCGCTCTCATCATCATCATCATCATCATCATCAGCATCACCATCATCAACATCACCATCACCATCATCACCATCACCGTCCATCATCACGACTCGTCATCATCGTCAGTATCGTCATCATCGCCGTCATCATCGTCGCTATCGATCGACATCGTCGTCGATCGTCGTCATCGCTATGGTCATCGTTGCCATCGTCTCCGCCACCCTGGACCGCTGTGCTCTGCCAGAGTCGGGAGGCGCGCCCGTCTTGGTCCGATTCGGCCTCAGTTCACAACAGTCTGCGTTGTGCTCACCGTCCTGGGGTCCACTGGCAGTTTTCCTTTCCGCTCCCCCTCCACCTCTTCTTCATATGTTGCCTCCTCGTGTTCCTTTCCCCCCGTGCCTACGGTGGGCACGGCTCCAGAGTAGAGCATTCTGGGAGGACGCACGGGGCGGTTTATAAGGCAGCGGTTCGTCTCCGACGAACACCTCCCTGAGCTCGCTGGGGCTCCGCCACCGGGGCGACATTGGCGAGGGGAGGGGGTTCGGGCTGCTCCCCTGGCCCCAGACCCCTCCCCCCCCGGGGGCCTCAGGGCCCACGGGGATCTCTTGGGGTTTGCTCGGGCGTATTTCCGTTGGCACTGGGAGAGGCCCTCCCGAGAAGGGGCCCACCGCCCCGCGCGCGGGGTCGATGGAGCCCTTGCCGCCGCCGAGGCGTTGGCGCACCAGGGGAGTTGCCCCCCTGGCCAAAGCCGCAGCCATTTGCGGCGCCGCCGAGTGGCAGCCCTCATTCTATTGACTAGCCGCAGCCATGTTACCCCGGGATTTGGGGCTCACGAAAAGCGAATGCCTCCAGAGTGTTGCGGGCAAGGCCTCCCGAGACCTCCTAGAGATCCTTGGAGACCTCGCACAGGTCCCCAGGAGCATCTGCGCTGGAGGACAGTCCAATGTGGCGTAGGAGGTCGGGACATGCTTCCCTCCAACTGATTCGCGGGGATAGTTGAGTTCGTAGGGTCCGCAAAACCCTCCTGAGGGGGACGTTGCGGACAGTCTGGAGCCCGCAGCCACGGGCCTCAGCCATCCCACGGGCCCGAACCGGCTTGACCGCCCCATGGGTGGCCAGGGGGACACGTTCGGGCTTGTCTCACCACCCACCAACCCACCCCAACCCAACCCGAAGGCCCCGATTTGCCCTCCATTTCCAGTGGGGGGGGGTCTGGGAACATTGAAAAAACATATATGGAACCCGTACCCCCCCCAACCCGAAATTCGTGTCTTCGGGTTGGGTTGGGGTGGTCTGGTAGGTAGTCATTGTCCAGCCAGCCCGAAGAGACTTCCGATTGGAGACCACCGCCCCGCGCGCGGGCCACGATGGCCGGTGGCGCTGCCGAGACGCCGCCGAAACGTCTCCGCGCCAGTGGAGGCGTCCCCCTGGCCAAAGCTGCAGCCATTTGCGCCAGTCGGCTGCTGCTGGCTTGGTGGCACAGCGAGTTGAGCCGAAGTTAACCCCACCTAGCACGCAATAATAGCCGCAGCCACTTCCACCCGTGGTTCCGGAGTCCCCAGAAACCATATTGCGAAGGCCCTACGGCCGGTGCCGCCGACCCCGAATGGCGACGACGACGACGACGACGACGACGACGACGACGACGACGACGTGCGCTCTTGGGGGCCTCTTGGGGGTAGTTTGTGGGCCTCTTGGGAAGCTCTTAGGGGCCGCTCGGAAGCCTCGTGGGGGCCTCTTGGGGCTTCCTGGGGGTCTCTTGGAGGGGGCCTGGGACGTCTTGGAGGCTTCTTGGACGGTCTTGGGGCTATCTTGGGCGTTTTCGGCCGATCTTTGGGCGACTCGGGGCCCTCTTGGGCCGTCTCGGGGGCCATCTTGGGCATTCGGACCTCATTTGGAGTGTTTTCGAGGTTTCTAGGCCGCCCGAGGGAAAACGAATCTGCCCCCCGGGACCCCCCCCCCCCTGGGGAAGGGATCAAAGGGAAGGGGCTTCCCTTCGACTCGATTACAACACTGCTCGATTTTTCTCTCGCTCACGAGCTTGAGAAGGAAGCTGCAGGGAAAGGGGACGACGGAGGCGACGACCGACGGAGACGACGACTCGAACAGCCAAGCCCCTCGCACACGCCGACAGGGTCGGCGGATTCTTCCTGAGAGTTGCGGGCGAGAGCTCCCAAGACCTCTGGAGGTCCCCAGAGGTCTCTTTGAGCTTGCACAAATTCACCGGATTCTTGGAGGTAAGCCCAAAGTGGCCCCCAGTGGTTTATGATGAGGGGCAGCCGGGCTCGCACGGATGAGAGGCAGCTCCCCCGACTCTCTGGAGCAGCCCCCCTCTCTGTTCACACTCTGTGCTTTCCTGCTGCGGCTTTGCTGTCCGCCCCGTGCTTCGCCTGCTCCCCCGCCTCCCCTCCTTCCCTTCCTCCCAGGGTGTTCTCGCGCAGGAGCTCGCGCGAGCGCGGTGCCAGCGCAGGAGACGTGGCATGCGCCGTGCGGCAGCAGCTGGCCGCGATGCAGAAGCCCAAGTCCGATCCTGAGCCTTCCCCCCCTGGAAATCGGAAGCCGGGGCGGCGTCCGGGGGGGCCTCCCCTCCCCCCCTTGCCTGGGGCCCGCGCGGCCCCCGCAGGGCTGGGCGCACTGCGCGCAGGAGCAGGACCAGGCGGCTGATGACGGACTAAGAGGGCACTGCTTGCTGTGGCCCTTCGGCGAGGCCAGCGGCCCACATGGCAGCAGGTGCGGGCCCGACCTGCCATGCAAGGAGAGCGCGCCGCCACCTACAAGGCGTCGCGGCAGACGGGCATCGTGCCCGTTGTGGGGGAGTGTTGTGGCTGTGGCGGCTGAGCCCAGCCCAGGCCCAACGGGGCAACTAAAGCGCACGACACGCGTGGCAATTCGCCCACGCGCTAAACTACGGTTGTCTGTGCCAGCAGTGTTGGTGGGTTCTGCACCAACCAATTGGCGAAGGTGTTGTCTCGTATGTTTTTTTTTGTTTGCTTTATGGTGCATATTTTCAGATTTGTATTGGGCTGGCAAGTTACGCTGCGTACGTCAGCGTTTCCAGTTTGATTTGGCACGTGTGGTGGTGCCCTCAAGGATGAGCTCTTGTTGAGTGTATACGCAACGTTTGTGGTCATTCATTGCTCTGCTGCACGATCGCAAGAGTTGTGTCGATTGGTTTCTGATTGGCTTTATAGCTTCATGCAGAGGGCGCTGCGCCGAGTAGACTGGCGCCTTTTTCATCTATCTTTGAAAACTTACCCTAGCCAGCATCCGGCAGGATCCCGTCCCTCCTCCCTCCCACCCACCCCCGCCCCTTCCTGTTTCCCCCCCATTCTTCAGAGCGTGAATTACCTACCCCGCTTTCGCTTCCAAGCAAAACCAAGCCATACCACGCGCCTCCTCGTCAAGCGGCCTGACCAGTACAGGCTGCAATTTGGAATCGTTTGGTATCTCTTGGAAGCGAGGGTGGTCAAAAGCGAGGTAGGTTTGTGTTCCCCTTAATTCTCCCCCCCACGTTCTCGACCAACGAAGACGGCCGCAGGGAGGGGCGCCAACGTCCCTCCGCAGCTTTGATTTTTCAAAAAAATGGAATCCACCCCGACCCCATAATTGGCGTTTGCTAAACGGCTGTGGACGTTTCCTGCGAAGCCCTGCCCTCTTCGATGCCTTTTCCTATCGGGCTATCCTGTCGGGGAGTCTTCCGATGCTCTGCTGAGGTACTTTGCCGATCGAGTTGCCCAGTACGAGGTGTGGTTACTCTGCCCGCTTTTAGTACCTGACAGCGCCACCATCCAGCGTGCTCCTCCGCACCTCGAGGCCGCCTGCGCGCCCTTCGCCCGCCGACTCAACGGTTGGGCCCCTCTTCTCTTTCTCCCCCCTCCGCGGCCGTCCTCTGCTTTCCCCACCCGCTTTGCGCGCTCCGCGCTCGGCGCGCCGCGCCAGACGGCCCCCCCGACGCCCGCGACCGCGGCACTGCCGAGCAAAAGGGGTCCCCCGCCCCCCTTCCTCCCCACCGTGGTCCCCCCTGCGGCCCCCCCGTCCTCCGCCCTTCATCGACCACATGCGGAGGGGGGGGGTACGGGGAGGGGGGATGTTTCTTAGAAGCACCCGTGCTTCTTAGAAGGCGCGGGCCCCGTCCGTAGATGTAAGGCCCGCGCCTTCCAAGGAACAGCGCTTCCGTGTGAGAAGCCTCCCCCCCTCCCCCTACCTACCCCCCCTGCGCGCCGCCAGCTCCGGGCCCTCGCCCCCGCTCCCGCCCGCGGCCCCGCGCCCGCGCCCGCGCCCCCGCCAGCGCCCCGCGCACCGCCCCGAGCTGCCGGTCGCCCGGGCAGAGCGGCCCATGCCCGAGGCGGGTTGGGGCGGGGTCGGCGGCGGGCGAGAGAGGACCATCGTCTGCCACGCGCAGAGGGGGGCTATGGGGGGAAGTGGACAAACGGTTTTCAGGAACATCCCCGCTTCTTAGAAGGCGCGAGCCTTCTCTATACATGTAAGGCTGGCGGCTTTTGCCAAGCAGCCCTCTTCTAAGGAGCCTCCCCCCCTCCCCTCTACCCCCCTTCTGCGCGCCGCTATCGTCGAGCCCAGAAGGGGCTGGATTCGGCGGCGAGCCCAAGGGTGTGCGGCGGGGGGGGGGGGGTCGAGGTTCGAGGTTCTCCGACGTTGTCGCCCGTTCCGAGCGGCCTTCCGGCCTCGGGGGATGCCTTCCAGCGGTTGCGCCCCGTCGAGGGCTCTTCCCAGGGGCGTACGGATCGGCCCGAAAGCCGTTGGAGGCCCGAGGTGTAGCCCAGAAGCCACCAGGCAGAGGGTGAGGGGGACGGAGCTTGGGTCAGAAGAGGAGCAGATAGTCATGCCTCTGCTCCTCTTGGCGAGCCCTCGGCGTCACGGCTGCATTACCCTCGACATTCTGGCCAGGGCGCACCCATGGTTGGAGAGGTCCGGGGAATAGCGGTATTGGTATCTTTTTGTTGCCCGGTCACCATCGCCATGAATCGTTAATTACTCCGACGGTAGGACCCCACATGAAAACCTGTTTAGCTTACCCTTTGCCCTTTCCTCCTCTCCCTGGCGGACATCCTCTTTTCTTGCCCTATGCACTGCCCTCTCTTCCTCCTTCTATTTCTCTTCCTCCTCCTCCTCCTCCTCCTCCTCCTCCTCTTCCTCCTCCTCCTCCTCCTCCTCCTCCTCCTCCTCCTCCTCCTCCTCCTCTCGCGCCACCTCCTCCTCGTCGTCGCCCTCCCCCATGCGCCTTCCCTCCTCATCCTCCTGCCTCTTCTCCATGTGCACCTCCCGTTCCCCCTGGTCGTGGCAAGCAACTCGATTTTCCTCGGCGCCGTCGCCGCGTCGGCCAGCACGCGCGCGTTTGCCGACGGCTAGATCGCGAAGCCGTCGGGGCAACCCTTCGGGCCAGGCCGTTGGGACAACCTCGCAGGCCGTAGGGGCGCGGGAGCCAGCCGTTGGGACAACCCCGCGGGCCTCCAGGTGCGCGCTGCGGCGCTCAGGCGGGTGGCAACACGAAGCCCAGCTCTGCCGCAAGCTGCTCCGCCTCAGCCCTGGAGTCCACCGCTCTCTTGTCGAACTCCTGGAACGCCTTCCGCAGTGACGCCGGCGGCCCGCGCTCCAGGAATTCTCGCGTGCGCGGCCGCAGGATCAGCATGTGCCGCATGCGCGTGGCGCGGGAGAACATGACGTAGAGGCGCAGCCACCACATCTCGTCCGACTTGCCCGTGCGGCCAGCGTCCCCATCCCTGGCGCAGTCGATGGTGGCGCCCTTGCGCAGCGTCTGGCCCTGCGACAGCGTGGAGGTCAGGTAGGACGCATGCCCCAGGGTGAACCCCGAGCAGCGCACAGTGTGCGCCCCCGAGCTTTGCCACGTAAGCTTCTGCTCGCTGGGCCTGAACATGAGCGAGTTCCTCGCCCGTGCTTCGGCCTCGGCGTCGTCGGCAGCGCCGTCGGCGCCCTGCTGCAGCACCTCGCCGACCTCTTTGTAGATCGGGGAGTCCTTGAAGCCGTGCACCTGCAGCCAGATTCCCAGCGGTAGGTAGCGGGGGCGGAAGGGCTGGCCCGGCGCGCACTCCTCGCAGTCCCGCTCGTCGTCTGCGTGGAACTCGAATGACACCATGGCGGCCCGTTGCTCGCGCGCGGGCCCCATCTTTTTCTTCAGCTCCTCCTGCACGGCCGTGAGCCGGACCTCCATGCCGACGTGTGCCGGTAAGACGCCGTGGATATCCCTCGTCGTGTGCATGTTCGGCTGGCTTGATTTAGGGCGGATTTAGGTTGAGTCGGTTGAGTGTTTTTGCGTTTCGATGCCGACGACGATTGTAATGATGTTGTTTATCAAATCGTAGTGCTGATGGTGTTGGAGATGGTTATGGTGATGATGGTGGTGCTCATCACATCCAGAATCACCATCATCACCATCACCATCATCGCAATCACAACCGCCCTCACCATACCATCATCACCATCCCCATCATCATCATCATCACCATCCATACCATCAGCAACGCCATCACCATCACCATCGTCACCATTGTGGTCCGGAGGACTTGGCTCAAACTAGTGTCGTCGTCCGCTGGGGCGGTTTCCCCGAGACCTCCAGCCTCGTCCTCTCTTTTGATTTCCCCGAGCCCTGCGGCCTCGTCCTCTCCTTTGATTTCCCCGAGCCCTGCTTCTTCTTCGAGCCGTGCGGCCTCGTCGAGAGCGGCCCCGTCGAGCCGCGCGGCCTCGGCGGCCTCGTCGAGGGCAGTTTCGCCGAGCCGTGGCAGCTGCAACAGCTCGGACGCCGATGCTGACGCAGGGTCCGACGCCGACGGCGCCGACGGAGTTGCCGACGCAGCGGGCTCCGAAGAGGACAGCGGCTCCAACAGCGGCTCCGACAGCGGCTCCGAAGAGGACAGCGGCTCCAGCAGCGAGGCAGCCGCGGCTGCAAGAGCGAAGGCGAAGGCCGCCCCGAGCAAAGAAGTCGAGAAGTTCCCGCCTTCGTTGTCCATGACCCTGGAGGAGCGCGTCGCCAGCCGCGACTACCCAAAGCACGTCTCCACCTGCGGCGCTTGCAAATTTTGGAAGAACAAGGGGAAGTGGAACGCCTCGATGTCTGCGACGAATCCAGTAACACTGAAGAGTGAAACTTGGATAGGCTACGTAGGTGGTAGACTTGCAGTCTGCTTGTTCTGCTCGGCGTTCAAGGGCGCTCGCTGCTATTCCACCATGGGCCAGGGGTCCGCGAGTTTCCAACGCACGGAAAACCTCGCGCGCCATGCACAGTGCGAGGGGCACCAGGCAGCAGAAGCGGCGTGGAAAGAGCGGGTTCGAGCGGAAGGTGCGCACCAGGGTCTCCCCGTGTCTGTGTTCCCCACAACGGCTGCATCAGCTGCAGCAGCTGCAACAGCCGTGGCGCCTGCGCCCGCCGTCGTCCGCAACGCCGACCAGCGCCCTAGTTGCCGCGCAGTGAGCGCCACCCGTGCAATGTTGGAGACAACCAGTTCCTTCAGTAGTTTCGACGTGTGGCGGGGTGCGTTCGGCGGGGGCGACCGCCAAGTTTTGGAGTCTAGTCGGCAGCGCCGAGGGCTGGTGACCACCATGGCTCAGCACGAGAAGATCATCACGCAGAGGATCCTCAAGCATGGTGCTCTTTTTCGTTTGGCTGCGGACGGCCTCGACCGCACGTACCAGGTCGAAATTGGCGCCGCGCTGCGGTCGATCCCGGAGGCTTTGGACTTCCTCCCAAGCTACGGTCTCAAGGCAGGCTGGCTGGAACAGCTGGGCCCCAGAGGGCCCTGGATCGTGGATCGGGTGATCGGGGTGCGGGAGTTCCCGCGGGGCATGGACTGCGACGGCAAGGCTTCCATGCTGGAGGAGTGCGTCCGTCGCGCGTGCCAGACGGCAGGCGGGGGGCTGGACGGGGACTTGCACAGGCATGTGCGACGGGAGATTCGGGCATGGTGCAGCGATGGGGCGGAACTAAGTGCACCCCTGGCTGCAACTGCTACGTTCCCTGGGCTGGCGTTTCACGCGTGGGGCGAGTCTCACTCGCCCCAGAAGGTTCTGGCCAATTCGATGAAAGGAGACAGCGAAACAACAGCCGCGGACGAGCTGCTGGCAACGGGTAAGAAGCCGCCAAGTCTGGCCAAGTTCCTGACTACCTCCACCGTGTCCCGCAACGCACTCGGGGAGCAGCAGCTGGTGGAAGACGGCGCTGCGTTCGTCAAAAACTTCGGCTGGGCCCCCCGGCGTTTCAACAGTCGGGCGAGGCCCTCGGCACGGGAAAGCCGGCGTTGGGAAGTCATTTTCGAGGCGTTCGGAGTGGAGCCCCAGGGGAAGGACAAAGATCGGCGCATTCTCGCCCGACAGATTCTGGAAGGGCTCGGGGGCGAGAACAGTTCGCGCCTGCTCCTGGGGGGGGGTTGCTGGCCGACTTGAGCGCGGAGCACTACTCCTGGGTCGCCACCGGAGACAAGAGCAACCCCGACGCTGCCAGCGTTCAATCCAGGGCCGCCGCTTTCGTCTCCAAGCTGGGTACATTGTTCGTCCAGGGGAATATTCTGGCCATCCCCAACACGTTTACTGGCGTCACCATCAAGTTTCTGAAGGCCACGAAGCGGTTCGCGTGCGGCACTGGCGCCCAGACCGTTGGCATCGGTGATTGGAGCACGGGGCCCCGAGCCCGCGAAGCCGCCCACGCGGCTCTTCGACGAGCGCAGGGGATCGTGGCCAATGTGAAGGGGAACGTGAAGCTATATCGGCCAGAGCATTCTTGGTTGCACGCCTTTACAGCCTTCCGCTTGCCTTCCCCCCTGTCCCTGTCTGCGACGGCAGAGCGTGCAACAGACGCCGAGGCCTGTTTGAAGCGCATTTGCCAGGCGGCAGACCCCCCCGAGCAGAAGGCAATCTCCCAGCTGCGGCAAATGTGGCCCCGTGCCGAGGTGCATCGTCGAGACGGGGGCACCGCGCGGCAGGCTTGGGGCCGCGCTGCGGTGGAGTGGCCCGAGCTCCCCAGCGGCCGTCGCCTCGTGGAGCTCTTCATTGTATGGAAAACGAGCACGGGCAACGTGGAGAGGCGATTCCGCCGTTTCTCGGAGGTGCATTGCCCCGAGAGGGCGCGGCACCTCGACGTGTCCGTCGAGGGGGGCGCACTCGTGGGCCAGGCGCCCTCCAGCAGGTTGCTGCGCACGTGGCTGGACGACAACGACGAGAGCAGCTCTGCCGCCAGTCGTTGGTACAGGCATGTGCTCATGCTACATGAGGTCGCGCAGGGGAAGATCGTGCCGCTGAGGAGGGCCGAGAGGCGCGACAAGGGAAGCACGCGGGAGCCTGGGGCAGCACGTCGGACAGAGGTAGGCTTCGGGCGCAGGC